AGGTAGATGCCCTTGCCTTGGTATAGATGAATTGCTTGTCTCTAGAGGTCCCAGAATCTTTATAAGGCCGTAAGTAGGCATGACTTTCCTAACCCAGGGGCTGATAGTTTTTTTGGGTTTGGTTTTGTTTTTGTTTTTTGTGGTGTGGGATTTGAACTCAGGGCCTCATGCTTGCTAAACTGGCCCTCCTGCTGCTTGAAAACAGCCACTCTGCCAGCCCTGTTTTGTCTTGGATATTTTCAAGATAGGGTCTTGTGAACTATTTGCTGGGGCTGGTGTGGAACTGCAGTCCTCCTGATCTCTGCCTCCTGAGTAGCTAGGATTATAGGCATGAGCCACCTACAACCAGCAATTGATAGCATTTTAAAAAAGAATGAAGTCTGGGGCTAGCAGAGTGGCTCAAGTGGTAAAGCACCTGCCTAGCAAGTGCAAAACCCTGAGTTTAAACCCCAATACTACAGGAAAAAAAAAAACCCTCAAATTTTAATATGAACTTAAAAGCCCAAAGACTTAATAATTTCCTCTTCTGACTTCTACTATCTGTGCATTTAGCATCACTTTAAAAGAACTAGATAAAATTAAAACAAAAAACTTTAATGTTAATCTGAAGAGGGAAACTACAAAGAACTAGGAACCAGAATTGTTTAAACATGAAATACTTTGTAGAGTGATCACTAGATATAATGGTGATAATAGTGGCAAAAAAGAATTTATTGACAAGGTTTAGAAGGTGTAGGTGTGCCTCTGTAAACTCTGCTCAGGTATACTTTGCTGGCAGCATAGCCCCCAGGAGGGCTTGAACATACAGCATTTCTGAAGGTAATGGTACTCTGGCACCCTCAAACCCAAGGCATCCTCTGACTTTGTGGAGAGTACACAGGATTTGAAGTTAGTAGACCTAGGTTTGAGTTCTGTCTGGGTCACTCAGTGTCCATATGATCTTGGACAAATCACTGAAACTTTCTGACTGGTATTCATAAAATGTGAGTAAAAAAAAAATGAGAGTAACTCCTATCTCACAGGGTTGCTGTAAGAATCACATATATGTTTAAGTATTTTGTGAACAAAAAAAGCTTTCTATGACCATTGTCATTATTTTGGGGGGAAGCCCCACCTTGGAATATGATAAAGGATGAAACTATGGGTGAAACTGTCTTCCTTTCTTTCTTCACTCAGAATAGCCTTTCTGTTTGGTCACAGTGCTTGTAGTTGCTGGTGGTGTTGACAAAAAATAACCAGATTTTGGTTCCTTTGGAACCAGATTCATGGGCGGAATGGAAGTGAGCAAAGGACAATTTTAAGCCAGTATAGTTCAGTTAGACAGCAAAGGAGAGAATGCTTATCTTACGTTCTCAAATCTTGTATAACTAAAACATCTTATATAAACAAGAAACAGTCACAAAAAAGCTTAGAAATAATTTAGAACATGAATGGGTAGTGGGGAAATTAGCTTATAAACTCTTCTTCTATCCCTTTCACTTTGGGGGTTAGAGTCAGATGTGTTACAGACACACTTACTAGCTATTGTCTATAACCTATCAGGCATCCAAAGGGAAAATCAGCTTCTGGGAAAGCTTAGTTCAATGCAGCAATCATGACACATTTAACCTACTAAAGCCACTGTTTGTTCTCTTCCAGTGCCTCTCCCTTATGAAGATCATTCCTGGTATCCAAAACTAGCCTATTTCTTAACCCAGTGAGAGTTAGAAACAACAGGTCATAACCAGGAGGCTCAACAATTAAATATACCTCATGCAGTCATAGGAACCTGCCCAATCATTCGAGCACATAGGACATGCATCTCACTGTCTCCCGTGTGAACTGACTTTGAGAAGTTGTATTGTCTCAGCTACTCTGCTTAGGTAGAAATTCTGTACTCTGATCTCTTTTCTTGATTCCCTTTCTTCATTCTTCCCCTACTACCTTCCAGGAGAGTACCAGTTCCCAAACCAAACGGTTGCCTTGCATGTTGATAATGTAACTTTTTTCTTAGTTATAGCCAGACTCTGTTGTTGGTAGGCTTTTTGAAGATTCTATTGGAAATCTAGCTTCTTTTTTATTGTTGGGGTAGGGGGATGACTACCACTCCTAAGTGACCTGTGAGAAGCTATTTGTGTGTCCATGTATGTGCACTTCACTCACACACGTGTGTGTGTCCCCTCATGGTTGTGCTCAGGGTGGCGGGGAGGGCAAAGAATAAAAAGGAAGCATCTTTCTCATTTTCCAACATTGCTTCAAAGATTCCCAACCCCCATAGTAGCAGGCAGTTCCCAAGTGGAGGGTGGGGGCAGAGGCCTCCACCAAGGCCATCAATAACCAGGTGTGAGCTACAGGTCTCTGTGTAATGTGAAGCTCTCCCGTATTTCATTTCTGCACCCAGGGGGCGGCTCTGCAGGATTGCTTACGGAGAGCTCTGTGTCTGGCACCTCTCTCCACAAGGCCCAGGCGCCCAGGGTCCCACCGACCTGCCCAGGAATGCATCGCATTGTTCTCTGGTGCTGTAATTTGGCTGCAGAAGCTAGGCTGAATGCCTCCCAGGGATGAGAAACATGCTTTCCCTGGCGTCCTCCCTTCTTCCCAGCTAGCTTGGGCTTCTGCCCTATGACCACTGAAAGCATTTAAATAAAACTTTAGAAAGGCTGAGGGAAAAATCCTGATTATCTGTCTTCTATTGAGTCATGTAGAAACTCATGTCCTAAGTGGGTCTGAGAATTTGGCAGAGGTTTTGATGGTTGGTGCTCTTGATAAGGAACCTGAGAGAAAGGAGAATACGCGGGGGGAGGGGGGGGGAATGAGGCAGTGAGTATTCATAAGTTAGATCTGTGAAACCTTTTGCAAACAGACCCTTAGGGTAGTGTTTGCTTCTTTTAATTAATCTCAAGACTCTGATTTCATCTTTCAGCATAACTCAAGCAGAGTGCCATTATTCAGGACCAATAATAATAAAAATTGGCTGTTTTCTGTAAGGTTAGGTTAAAATTGGCATTCTTACTTTTGCTTAAACTGACTGCAGGCTGTGCAACTGAGGTACTTCAGTCATACACGTTCACTAAAAAGACTCTAAGACCCCTAAAGGATAGAGATAGTATCTTTTAAGTTAACTTTGTGTCCAAGTAGCACTTACTGAAATGCAGTATGCCTAAATATTTATCAAAAGTTAAAAGAAAGGAGGATCAACAAGGAATGGAAGACAGGAGAGATGCTAAGACATTGCTGATGGGAAGGACAGACTACTATCATATAGAGGAAGGATGGAAGAGGGTGTCTAGAGGCAGAGTGAGGGAGTAGCAGCAAAACTAAATAGAGCCCTCAACTGCACCAAATAAAGCTCTTGTTTTGCTCCAAATAAATTAGTTTCTGTTTGTATAGTGCAGCATGAACGCCAGTTGTCTAAAGCCATTTGGAATGCAGAGGAAAGCTAAGGACTAAGGAAAAATTAATTGCTTGGCCATCATTCCTCCTTGGGGCCACACAGCTTCTGTAGTGGGGCTCAAATGGACATCCTTTCTCTCACTTAAATACCTCACTTTTCAAACTTCTCACTCTCTGAACAGCTTGTTCTCTTAACCATTTATAAGAAATTGCAAAACTTGCATCTTTGTGAGATAGAATTTGAAGCCCAGGGAAAAACAAAGAATAGCATGCGATACCAGAAGAGGTCCACCCACTTCTTTCAAATATAAAAATTTGATCTACTATCAAATAGTAGATAATTGGGCACAGGATTTAACACAAGTTGACTTCCCTTGGAAGGTCTATGCCATTACTGATAAGGTAACTTGGATGTTCTTACAAGGTCAGGGGCTGGCTGAGACCAGGGCTCTTCCCAGCAGCAGCCTGGTAAACATGGCAGTATTTGTAAATTCGTTCAACACTGTTCTTGACTTTGGACTGACCGTAGTCATGACCCCATACTTCCACACTACCACAAAACTTTCTTCCTCCTAATCCAGGCCCAAAATGTCAGAAGCTCCTCTCTTCCCCTTCTATTCCCCCTCCCTAATCCCACCACTGGCTCATCAGTTATCCAGTTGACTCCACTCTGCAAGGAAGACATTCCCTTGGCCTGACTCACTCATTCCCATTTCTCCACAGGCATCCCCTCACCGCAGACCACAAGGGCCCTGACTAGCTCATGTTTTGTGTTAATGGATGTGAAACCGGAGCAAATCCCCTCACCAAAAGAAAAACCACCCTAAACTCTCCCACACAGGTCTCAGCAGGTTACACAAATATTAGTCCTATCATCCAAATAAATCTGCCTCTATGGCCAGAGCAATGGCTCCCACAACCTCCTGCTGCCTGTGCAGAGTGAGGTTGCTCCACAAACATTCAAGGACCATTAAGGGATGTTGTAGAGGAACTTGAGAAATGCAAGAGGGCCTGTACCAGAATTCCCTGTGTAGACCCCCTAATCTACAGCCTGCTGTCAAGACTAGACAGTCTTAAACTTCCTAGAGAAGTTATGATGGGTTTGACCAGTCAGGGCTTTGGTGAAGAGTGTTGTGGCTGCATTTTGGGGCACAATTAAATCTCAATATCTGAGATAGGTTCATACTCTTATCTTACAGATGAGAAATAGAGGCTGGGAGAATCTAAGTATCTTCCTGAAAATATCAAAAACTGTAAGTGACACAGCTATGATTTTTAACTCAGATCTGTCTTAACTGCTTATTTCTACACCACTCTGCTGTTTTCTCAACTGTCAAGAGATAACCACCAAGTTACATAAAACTAGGACATCAGAGTTTCAGACTCCATGTCCTACCCTCCAGCTTACTAAGCCTGCTAACTCTAGAGACTCCACTAATGTGAACCTAGTTAGGCAGTGGGTAGTAGCCAGAAGGAACCCTTCCTGACTTAAACCAAATGTGAAATGAATAGATTACTATTAAATCACCAGGACAAATTAAGATTTGGTGTGTAAATGGGGACATGCTACTGCCTTCTAGGCTGTTCACCACACTGGCCTCAAGCCCCAGCTCTTTTTATAGGTAGCCACAGGCTTCTCCTAGCTTCAAAAGTTAGGATCCTCTCCTAAAGAATTACTGAAGTTAGAGATCTCTATCTTCCTAATATACACTGATCCCCTTGTGGCGTTTGAGATCAGGTCAGCTCACCTCCATGAAACGACCTGTCTTTTACTCAGTGTTTTCCAAACCTAGTTAACCTCCAGAATAACACATGGGGGAACAGAATCCCAAGGCCTAGAAAGACTTACTGTATTATTCTCTCCCTGTACTGTCACAGAATATTCTAATGATCTGTTAGCCTTGAGAACCACTACATGCCACCTCAGACTGAACAGGCAACAAGTAAAGGTGGAAACAGACAGAGAATGCATGTTTATGTAGTTACATGATTTTCCCCTATAAAACACAGCAGTTTATAAACTATATATAAGCATGTGAATGCAGCCTCATCCAAGATGGCTGACTTTGTCTAGCATTCTCAAGCTCTCAATAGTAGAATGTCGTACCCTAAGATTGTTCTTTTAGGGTACCAGGCAGTCTGCTCAAACTGTCTCTAGGGAAGGAACATGTAGTCTCATCTCTGTCTGATGCTATCCTCAATCAGGATAGAATTAAAAAAGGAAGCTATCTCCATGTCCCCTTCCTCTTGCATGCCCAAGAAGTATCAGGAAGTCAGTGCAAGGGAAAGGAAAAATGAGCCTTGACCAGGTTCTTTAGTGCAACTCAAATCACTCTGAAGACCCTCTACCTCTTCTACTCTTTCTTCAAACCTCCAGAGTGGAAATCAGGGATCCACTCAGCTTCTTATATCCCCTATCAACTCCTTCCCAGGGCTAAGGAACAAGCCAGGACACCATGGTCCCTCTGGATTATTCTCAAGTCCTTAAATAGAAGCTGTAGCAGCCCAGGGTTGAGGGTGGAGGAAGGTGTGCATGCAAGGATCTTGTGCTTTTGAGTTGGGAGGCTTGAAGCGGAGGGATGAGTGAGGTATCTTAAGTGTTCAGGTCTGGTCCAGCCACTCTGCCTTCTTGGGGGCCTTGCAAGTATGGACGTCCACAGTATTTCTGCACTCCTTGCACCGCACAGCACAACACCAGTGGAATTTGCACTCACACTGGGTGACACGGGTTACTCGAGTTGTGTCGTACCCTCGGCCACAGCACATGATTTCACAACCATCTGTTCCTTTAGAAGTCTTGTTGCAGACGCGGCCTGCGGTGCCTAGGGAACCTGGGTTGGGGAAGACGGAATCAGAACAAAGTTACCTCTTACTTCAGCTACTCTGGGCACTTTACTCACATCCTCAGGAGGAAGCCATAAAGTATCTTTTTTTTTTTTTTTTTTTTGCTGAAAACACACCCACTAGCCAAAATGATCATATCCTCATCGCCTTTTAGTCCAGGCTCATTTCTTCCCACCATCAAAGCTCCCCAGAAGCCACTGGCTTCACCTGCATCCTCCCTGCCAATATACATCTCTATACCCTCTTTAGAATCAAACCTTAGAAGTTCCTAACTATGTTTGAAATTTTCCATAACAAAAAGTGAAACAACAGTTTAGCATGGAATTTACCTCTTCAAATAAGTCTTACTACAACTCTGATCATGCTACCATTTGTTAGTATTTTTGGTCCTTTATACTTTTTTAAGTCGTACTCTACAGAGAAGTATAGCATGGCCATTAAAAGCATGGGTGACTGAAGTGGTAGAGTGCTTGCCTACCGAGAGTGAGAGCCTGAGTTCAATCCCCAGTACTGAAAAAGTAAATAAAAATAAAGAATGGGTTCTGATCCCTGTTCTGCCTCTTAGGTATCTAGTGATTTAGCAAGTTAATTAATGTCTCTGGGCCTTAGTGTTCTCATATGAAAATTGATATAATAGCAGCATCTTAGTGGAGTGCTATGCTATAATCCTGGTCTAGCTGAGGAGGTGAGCTGATTAACATGACAGGCTGCAGGCATGGTGCCCTTACAGCAAGAATTCTTGAAGGGCAGGGATGATGTTTTGCCCCTGCACAGGGATAGCTAAACCAAAGAGATCCTGTCAACAGATAATAAAGTCAGGGAATTTTGTATGTGTTGGATCCCAGAGAGTATTTATCCAAACTCTTTCCCTTATTAAGAACCCAGGGTGGGAAGGGACTGACCTGGGAGTTCAAGAAAGACAATGAGTTAGCTAATTTCAACAGCAGTGTTCTCCACATTCCAGTGGGATTGGGAAAAAATGCAGCACCTCCATATTTGTTTTTTTTATTTTATCAGTTTAAAGTATCTATTTTAGGGCTGGGGGTGTAGCTCAGTGGAAGAGCACTTGCCTCACATGCTCAAAGCCCTGGATTAGAGCCCCAACACCATAACAATAATGACAACAACAATAAAATAACATATATATATGGCATGAATGTTTTATAATATACAGGTATGGTGGAATATATATATATTTTTTTTCAGAGGTATATGCTCCTTTTTTAACTATAGCAATATATAGGCCAAAATTAGGAGACCAGTGCTGTATAGTGTGGGCTGTTTAGGTCTACTACATATACATTATTCCCCTAACTCCAAGTATTGGGCTTTAGGACACCAAAAACCTCTTCTACACCCTGGAGCTGTGTGCTGTCTAGTCTAGCAACCACTAGCTACATCTTTTAAATTTCAGTTAATCAAAATTAACTAAACAATTTAGTTTCTCCGCTGCACTAGCTATACAGTAATCCCACTTATCTGTTTTACTTTCTGTGATTTCAGTTTCCTGTGGTCAAAAAATATTAAATGAAAAAATACAGGAATAAAAAAATTCATAAGTTTGAAATGTTTTATCACATAATATCATTCAAATTGTTCTATTTTAGGCTGGGAATGTAGCTCAGTGGTAGAGCATTTGCCTAGTATGTTCAAACCCTGGGTTCCATCCCTAGCATTGCAAAAAATATTGTTCTATTTTATTGTTAACTATTGTTGTTAATCTCTTATAGTGCCTAATTTATAAATTAAGCTTCCCCATAGGCATGTATGTATAAGAAAAAGCATAGTATACATAGGGTTTGGTATTGACTGTAGTTTCAGGCATCCATTACAGATCCATGTATAAGGGGGGACACTGTATTTCAAGTTCTCAATAATCACATGTGGCAAGTTGCTACTGTGCTGAAGAACACAGCTGTCATCACAGAACGTTCAGTTGGACAGTACTACTTTGTGTGAATGTCTGGCCCCATACTCCTGGGACAACTTATACCCTTTGAATTCTTAAGTCCCACTTTTAGTTTTATGAGAACTAATTTTACACGTCTGACAAAAACTAACATGCATATGCTTATCCTCCCTCCTGACTCCAAAGATCCTTTCCCAAAGGTACATTTTAAATATGGTAAAATAGACTTATACTTTAGATATTATGGAATTATTCAGAGACTAACCCTCTGAATTAGACCATGTGAAAAACAAACCTAGTGGCCAGAGGGTTCAAAAGGGCTCCCCCGACCTTTTTTCTTCTCACCCTGTACAAAGTACACCAACTTTCTCTGTTACTGGGCTAGAACTCCATCCCCTTTCTGTGCAGTTTTGCTCTGAGCCACTTGACTCTACAAGAATGACAGTTATGAGTAAAAACAAACAGCACGGAAGACAGCTGAGATTTTTGGCTCCACTTTACCGAAGTGCTGACTGTTGAGTCTGCAGAAAAGAGCCTGGGAGCCCCATGACAGTAACCAGAAAAGAAGCAGTTCTGTTGTACTGCACGTTGTTACTAGTTTAACCTATCTAAACCAGAAATTATGAGCCAGGTTGGTAACTTCCACTCTCTTGGGGAAATACCCTACTACTTTCCAGCATTCCCAAGAATTCCACCACAGATATCTAGAACAGATTGAAAAACAACCATTTTCTGCTTACTACCAGCCATTTGCTGCTTTACTTGCCTTTGTAGGGATGTCTTCTTTCCTTGCTCCCCTAACTGCATTTCACAATCTTTAGTGGCAGCACACTGGATAAAGCCTTTCAAGATCATTTGTGGCCTAGCTTTAATCTCCCAGACACCTTTACTCAGTCAGATTGATCTTCTCTGTCCCCAGAACAGGTCATGGGTTTTGCTACCTACCCTTTTCAGCAGAGTATCTGCCTATCCAGATAATCTCCACACTTCAAAGAGCAGGTTAAATTCCACATTTTCACTTTTCTTGATTTCTCCATTCGTTTCTCTTTATAATTGCATTTGCTTACTCATTACACATCTCCCCACCCCTCTATTTCTTTTGTGGTGCTGGGGAGCAAACCCAGGGTCTTGCACTTGCTAGGCAAGTGCTGTATCAACTGAGCTATATCCCCAGCTTTAATCTCGTTTCTTCAACTAGATTATAAAGAGCCAAAGGCTTAATGTTGCATTTATGTTTCTGTGTAGGCCACACATTGCTCAGAACTGAAAACAGGTGGCTCATTTAAATATCCTCTGAGAAGTATCCCAGATAATGGGAATACACAACCTCAGGTCTCAAGGAGCTGAGTAACCTCCTCTCTATTTGTGCAGCCTTGAACCTGGTAGACTGACACATAAGTCACCAATCTCAGGATGAGGTTTTCACATGGGGAGCTGACTGACTCCTTCCATAGCACCCCCTTCCCTAAATCCTGCAGCTGGACAGACAATGATTAACCAGCAATGCCTGTACTAAGAACTGGGCTCCATGTCTCTCTGCCTGCTTTGTTTTCTTACCTGCAGCCTTGTCTAAGACACAGTAGTCTGGGGAGTTGTCAAAGTAGACAAGATCAGTCCGAGTGGCACGGCGATAGCCTTGGCGGGCTGCTGTGAAGTTGGCACCATCCTGGGTGGCTGTCACCTGAACAGCCCCATCGTAGCGCCGCCGCAGGTAATCACCTGTGCGGCGGAAGTCTGAGAGTGCACGCCAGCAGGTGCGTAGAGTACATGAACCACTCACACCATGGCACTTACACTCTAGCTTCAGAAATCGTCGCACAGCCTGGAGGAGGGAGGAGGCAGGTCAGGGAGAGATTTTTGTCATCCCTAGGGGCAAAAGCAGGAGTGCTCTGAGGTCTGCTGGGCCAGGCTTGGTGGTTCTCTCCCACATCAGATCCCACCCATTCTTCCTGACCAAATTAAAGAATCTCCTCCTCTAGAAAATCTTCTGGGACCAAGTGATTTGCTTGTTATGTCTGCCTGTTGGAATGTCAAGCCATAGTATTCTGTTCATGACAACAGTGTGCTTACACATCCTTTAGTTCTCATGTATTGGAGTGCCACGCACTACACCTTCTCCTTTTGTAGTGTACCATTTTTCAGCATGTGCACAGGAGGTGTTCAAACACCAGCAGGCAGTCTAGAACAAACTCTTATTATTCGCCCAGCTTTCATTAAGGCCGTTCTTTTTTTTTTTTTTTAACCTGTTGAAAAGTTACTTCTCTAACCTTTTCCTACTTTCTATTTATGTGGAAACCTGGTTGAACCTAGGCATTCCCAAGCTCCCTTACATTTAGTGCTCCTGTCAGGGATGCTAAGGCTTTTGGAAGTGAAGATGCCTTCAGTTTTCCCACCTTCACGTTTAGGTTTGGTCATTCCCAAAAAATGTACATACCCAAATGTGACTACTGACCGTACGACCACAGCGATTGTTATGTAAGTTCATGAGGGCCCGGGCGTCCTTAAGCCTCTTCTCCTTGGCATCCACAAAGGCCTTGGCGAAACGGACACCATAGTGGATGTTGTCACTGCAGCCACCCCAGTCAAAGTCCCCACGTTGGTCATGGTGTCGACCACGAGTATATGGGTCACAGCTGCACACACTCAGTTCACCCTGGCTACAGGCACGAGTGATAGCATGTACCACGCCTGCTGATGAGATGGCATAGACAAATGCTGCCTCCCGGCTACCTGGAGTAAGAAAGGTAGAAGGGCATTTCAGGAAAGAGACACATGTCTGTCCCCCACCTTTTTTTTTTTTTCTCTCAGCACTGGGGTTTGAACTCAGGGTCTTGAGCCTGATAGGTAGGTGCTCTACCACTTGAGCCATATCCCCAGCCCTTTTTGCTTTGGTTATTTTTGAGATAAGCTCCTTGTTTTCCTGGGTGGCCTGGATTGTAATCCTCCTGCTCATGCTTCCCACATAGCTGAGATGACAGATGACACCATGCCTAGCTTTTTTCTTTTTTTGGTTGAGATGGGGTCTCACTAACTTTTTGCTTAGGCTTGCCTCAAACTACAAAATCCTCCTGATCTCCACCTCCTGAGTTGGGATGACTGATGTGAACCTCCAGCAGTTCTGCTACTCCTCCCTCCTCCCCTACCTCCTCATCCCCCTTCCCATTTTTGGACAGTCTCACTATATAACCTAGCTGGCCTGGAATTCAAAATCTTCTTGCCTCATCCTCCCAAGTTCTGGAATTACAAGTGTGTGCCACGTCCAGCAGTCTCCTTCTTTATCCCACATAATCTCTAAAACCTACTCTCCTCTTCTTTCCCAGAGCCACCTCTACACTCTCTTTTTCCAAGGTGCCCTTCCCTTCCAAGAGCATTCCCCAGAGTATCTGACTGCTTCCTCTTAGCCCTCACTATTCTCTATCCGTTTCTTTGCGCATCTGACCTCTCGGGCTGACCTGTACTCTTAGTTCTAATTTCCCTGGGTCCTTCCACTGAAAAGTCCCATGGTGAATCTTCCCCTCCCACTGAGTGCTAGCACTGGTGTAGCTAAGCCTGCCTTAGTGCACATTCCAGACGTTTCAGGCCCACTCTGCTGGACAGTTCCTCCACAATACAGACCCCAGCCCAGGCGGTCAGCCTGTCTGGGGAGGCAACTTTCTGTGCCTGTTCTGCTCCCTACCTGCTCCTGGGGACTGATGAACGTCACCCCCAACACCTCCAGATTCCCATCTCATTCCTTTTCTCCTAGTTTACTGCTGACCTCTGCTTAGCACTTTTGCTGAGCTGGGGCCAAGCCACTGACTCTCCAAATATTTACATATCACCTTTCTGTTTATCTCTTGTTCCCATTACTGTAGTGTAGAGATTGTTAGGGTGACAGTACTGATGGTGGTGCTAAGAACCAAAGGAGCTATTCCTGGTTCTCAGCCTTACAGGGCTAGGGAATGGTGAGGGCAGAGAAAATGAGGGAGAAAGATGGAGGTGCTAGGGAACGCTTACCTTTGTGTCATCATCTCAGAGCACTGGGATTGACAGGGCCTCTGCCTGGGAGTCTCAGGTTGTAAGGGGCTCTGCCCACACTTGATTCTCTGATTATGAAGTGTGTGGGAGAGGAGAGAGGGGATCTGCCTACCCTTCCCACTCACCACCCCAAGCATAGGAAAGGAAGGAGCTGCAGCAGGAAGGAGGAGGCCCCTACTTCTGAGCATGACACGACCAAAGACAGTGTGGTCGCGGTCCAGTGTAGTGCAGTTCCAGCGATGATGTCGGAACTGGTGCTGACACTCTCGGATCCATTCTCGGGCACCTTCACCCACTGAGCGCATGATGTCTGGATAACGCTGACAGAGCTGTCGCTGCCGGCTCACCAGACCAGGGATGTTGTCACAGATCACCCGGGCTCCCAGGGCCCCAATGTACCTGTAAAATGGACGTGGCCCTGTCAGAGCAGCCAATCTTTTTCCTGTGAAGGGGTGGAAGATGTTTGGTATCTAGACCTTCCTTTCCCTGCCCCCAGCCCACATTCCCTGACACTGGTGGGCAGAACCATTCCCCACAAGCTCTGGAGAAATACGCAGTTGCAAAAAGAGTAATTGAGTGGTCTCCCACCATTACCAGTTCCTCAGCCAAAGGCCAAAGTGACACACACTCCCAGAACACAGGCCAGGCATGTGTCATATACACAGAAGCTGTGGGTATGTCACACAAACCCATCGCCTGTTTATTTAATAAACATTAAGGTCCTCACAGAAAAATAAACTAACAAAATGAGGGTCTGAGACGACACTACTACACCCACATGTAAGAGAGACGTCCTGAGTGGCTGGTCCATGAAGACGTGGTTTGGGGGCAGGGAGATGGAGACAGGGAGGGGCCAGCAGGAAGAGACATAGTGGGCAATTCTGAGTAATGTTTATAGTTCTAGTTGGACTGAACTGGCTAAAAAATCCTCATTCCCGATCTTGAGATCGAGGAAGACGACCCCATCCCCGACTTTCCTCCCCATTCCCCTTATTTCTAGGCTTCAGGGTTTTTTAATTAGGGAAGTTTTGCTTTTTAAAATCACTTTCTCCAACGTATAAGACACAATGTCCTGGGTGGGCCTGCATACAACGGGCTATTTGCAGTGGGAAGCCAAAGGCCAAGATAAAGTAGTCCAGTTCCCAGTGTTCAATGCAGACAATTACAAGAAGATAACTGAGATGAGCTTCTAGCAGGTGAGATGGGTCGCTGGAAGTATTTTCTCTTCTTTCAAACACTCTTAGCCCTAGACTCCACCTCAGCCTTAGAAAGAACATTTTGGAGATCAAATTGGACTGCACCACCCTTTCTGCCCAAGAGGCCACCAAACAGATCAGAACCATTTGCAAACTTCTGATAGCTCAACTACCTGGCTCTGTTTCTTTCTCCCTTTCGGTCTCATCAATCCCATAGCACCTTCTTAATTTGCTGGGCACCCTCGATTCTCCTAAGACTCCTGTCCCCTTTTCTGAACAGGTGAGGGTGGTGGAAAGCAGTTGCTACTGCAGACAGAAAAACTTTGGTCTTGTCTATGAATGAGCTGATGGTTTAGGAATGGCCCTAAAATGTGCCTAGAAGTTGGTGAGGATAAGGGAGGGCAGCTGGTGGGGGAGGGAAAAACTGAACAGCCCTGGGCCCTGTGTCCCCTCCCCCCCATGCATTCCCACAGCCAGCCCTCACCCACAGACTGGATCACCACTGGTGACACCAACTCAAACAAACACAAGGAGGGCTGATGCTTGCCTCTTCGGGAACTCAGCAGAGCTGATGGGCCCCATCTGTCCTGAGGGAGGGGTGAGAGGGCTGGCCCTCTGCTTAACAAATCCCATGGAATCAGCGTCCCCAGCACTGTCCATGAGGGCAGCAGCTTCCAGGAACAAACAAAATAAACACCCCAGGCTGGGCCAGGCCGGAAAGGGCTGCCTGACGCAAAGCCTGGAGTTACACCCACTGCCGTGGAGATTTGTTTGGAGAATCAAGACCGTTGGAGTTCATCCCTGTCTCACCACTGTTCTGCTTCCCCAGTTCAGCCCAGAGTACTGATCTAGGAAATGGGTGTTTGGTTCCCCACCTCCTAGGGCTTGGGAGGAGGGGAGTTGGATGGGAATAGGAGACCAATAATCCAGCCCTCATGAGACAGACTGGAGTGGGGCAGGCCAAACTCTGGCAAAAAGGCTTTCCTGTGGTCTGACTTAAATCCATTCTGCTGCAGCCCACATTGGTCCTCCTTATTACATCCTCAGTGAGCATGGGAACATCTGTTCAGTATCTAAGATGGGAGATAATTAGATTTTTTTTACTACCATACTTACCCAACTAACTGCTTCAAGACCTGCAAAGCATGGCGCTGGCCTACTTTCCAGTAGTTTGCACCTTTAGACAGTGTGAGGGCCTCCAACAATGCTGAGCCCATTCCTTCTAAGTTCAGCTCCTGCTTGCAAAATGCCTGCCCCATGCCAAGCACTGAGCTCAACCATTGGGGCACAGAATGTTTAAGGGGTCCCCTGGCTCATGGGTGCCAGAGGCCCCCTGACTCCCCAGCTTTTTCCTTCTAGAACCTTCCTAGCTTCCTGCACCAGAATGCTCTCTTTACCTGTTTTTGACCAATTCACATTCCTTCCTTTGATAAAGTGACACATACTCTAGCCCCTTTCGTCTCAAAGTGTGGTTCCCAAAACAGCAGTATCTGTGTCACCTAGGGATTTGTTAGAAATGCAGAACATCAAGCCTCACTCCTAGGCCTATTGAATCAGAATCTGAATTTCGTCAGGACTCCAGCCTGATTTGGATGTACTACTACATTGAAGGCAGGAATTTTTGTGTCTTTTGTTCACTTTGGTATCCCCAGTACTTAGAACAGTATCTGGTACATAGGAGGTACTCAATAACTATTTATTGAATAAATACCTAACTGTTTCCATCTCTCCCTAGCCAGCCATAAACTTCATTTCAGTTACAGCTTTACTCCTTGTCAACACTGCCAGTTTATTTGCAGATGTTCTATGTTTGTGTCATTTTAATGAAGCCTCTTTTTTCTTCCCTTGTTTTGTGTACATATCCTAGTATATAGGGTTCAGTCCAGCACATATACAACTTTGAACATAAAGATAAAATTGTTAGCCTTTCCGAATCTTCTCTGAAACCACGGCATTTGGATAGTACTTTACAGTTCACAAAAAAGTTTTCTGCACAAAAATTCCAAGACCACACATACAGAGACAGCAATAAGAGAGAAAGAAAGTGATCTTCATTTTATAGGTGGAGAAACTGTGAGGTTCGAGGATGTTAAATGAGAGTACCACTCTGTCCATCAAGGCTACTCAGGTTGAAGGAAGGCCACTTGACTCCAAAGTTCAACTTCTTTCTGTTGGAGATGGGCGGGCTTGAGATAGGGTCCTGCTATATAGCCTGGGCTGGCCTTGAACTCATGAGCCTCTTGCCCTAGGTTTCTGAGTGCTGCAATTATAGGTGTGTACCCCTATGTTTGGCCCCAGTTCATTTTTATACCAGGGGCAAGAGAGGCACACAGTTTTCCTAGGAGTAAATCCATCTTGTTCCAAAACTGGTATCAACTTGAGCAAGTTTCTTACCATTTCTCCTCTATCCCTCACTTTCTTCATTTGTGTGAAAGAGATCATAATAGAACCCTCTCTGGATTCTTCTGGGGGTTAAAGAAAATGATGCTCTTAAGGTAGCTTGGCCATAGTGCCTTGAGCTCAGTAGGGGCTCATTAAATGACAACTGGTGTTGGTAACAGTAGAGCTAATATTCCACTCTGTTTCTTGCTCTCTATAAGCCCATAAACACAGTCCTGCTCTTCTGATCCCTACCTGCTCCCCCTTGCAAAATGAAACAGGCAAGTGCGTGACAGGAGCCCCCTAGACTAAGAAGAAGCCATTGTTTCCTCTAGTTAAGGATGGAGGGAGGAAGTGGGTGGAGAGGAAGAGGAAGAATCTTGAGCTGTGAGGAAGAGCATGTGGAACATGGACACACTGAGTAAACAGGCATCTGTCTCTTCCAGGGTTTGCACAAAATACCAGTCTTGCTGGGGCTTCTGTAAGGGAAAGAGAGAGAAACACCTTGGGGGAGTCACCTGCCTTCAGAATTTGGCTTTCCACCTCATCCTAAAGTGGTGACCACTGAGGCTGGCATCTGGGGCTGCAGTAATGACAGGTGAAGGGCAAGGAGACAAACAACATCTATACCCAATCTCCATCCTGGCCCCGTTACTGCCTTCCTCCATTTCACAGGGACTGCTAAACTACTCTGTCACCGGCTTCCCTTCCTAGCTCTTCCATCTAGGAGTTTTTCCAGAATCTTTAATATGAACCATGTGGGGGGAGGGTAAGAGAGGGAGAAAGGAAAAGCAGGATGGAGTAGACAAGGGTAAAAAATGGGGACTAAAGAACCCCACTTGAGTCTATAGGAACCACTAGCTGGATGCTGAAATGACCAGAGTGACACTTCTCATGTAAACACCAGGTGATCCCCAAGACTGTCTTCCAAAAGGGTAAGAAGCAATCAATAGTTCCTAAAAGAAAACTGCCATCTGGGCAGGATAAAGATGGGCAGCACTCACTTCAAACTCTCATGCTTTCCCAACAGGGACCCTGAAGATGTAAGTCCCCAGGCTAGACTGTGCCAAGGTGTAAGGGGTGGTTTTGATCTCTGAACGTTCAAAGGCCCTTTTCCAGTCTTGCTTCTTTTCTTTCCTTTCTCTTTCCAAAAGAATGTTTCAAGCCAGATGTAAGATATAGGCCTCTCTGCTCCCCCATCCAGAACCCCCCTCCTTGCCTTCCCCAACACTGCAGAGATAAAAAGATCCAAAAGAGAGATTTTTCTTCAACAGGAAAACAGGGATGGGGGTGGGGATGGAAAGATGCATCTTGAAATGATAGGAATCTGCAGTCCAAGCTGGCTGGCCCCTCAGCCAGCTACCCCTCACCCTTCCAGCCAAGATTCCAAGTCAAGAGAGAAAAGCCACAGGGTGCAAGAGAAGAAGAGACCATACTTTGCAGGGGTGGGGGGTGGGGGTTGCAAGCAGGAGGTGCAGAGTGAGGAATGGAAGGGGGCACTGTATGGTGGAGAGGGGCACTAGCCCAGTCCAAGAGGTTAGTTTGATTGGAAGGGTGAAAAGGAAAGATGACAGGACTGAATCTTGTCTCAGTCCAAACCCTCCTCCCCTTGTTTCGCCACCCCCTGTGAAGGGGGAGAAGGAGAACAGCTTTCCTAGGAAGAGAAGATGAGTACCATCCTGGGCTGGGGGAGCTGCTGGGAATGGGGATGGGGATGGAATCCGAAAAGGACAGACAGCAGACATCCCAAGGATAATGCCTTTTGCCTGTCTGCCCTCTTGCTAAGTGTCTGTAGCCTAAGGCCCTTGAGAGACGTGAGGAGAGGGTTTCTCGGTACTTTTGTATTCCAGAAGCCTCTGGCTCTTGGAGGAGAAAGATGGAGGTGATATCATCTGGGAAAGAAAAGCACGAAGGGAGGGGATTACCAGTGTTCCAAGTGACATCCTTGAGACAGAAGACAATGCCCAGATTAGGCAAACCCTCGCTGAAATTATCTTAATTGTGGGAATCAGTGGGGTACCTTTTGACTGGATTTTACTTCTACAGAATCTCGCGCTGCTGCTGCTGCTCACCAAAGCCTTCCAGCGCTAGCTACCCTGTGGGCTAGACTAGCAGAGGCCAATCGGCCCTTGCCAGCAGCACCTCTTTCTGCCTCCCAAGGGGGCCCTCAGGCGGGTGGGGCCCAGCCGAACAGCCACTGCAGGGGTCAGAGGGACGACTGGTTTCTTGAGCCCATTCTGAGAATCGGAAGGTAGCCTCTGCCTGGGGCTTAAACGCGAGTCGGGGGCGATGTGGGGTGGGGGCAGCATATGGGGCCTGCGGAGCCTCGACCACGAGGCGTCCTTGCACCAGATGCTCCATACTCTCCTCACCAGGCCGGTAAGATGCGGCGCCTCATCCCCTCAGCCCCTCCGGGACTCCAGTGACTGTCCTGCCCAGATCATTTCCAATTTCGTCCAAACAACAACCTAGTCCCCTGAACAGCCCGTGCCAGGAGCTGTATATCCCCGCGGGCGCCTCACTCGCCCAACCCTGAGATCCACACTCACCACCAGGATGTGTCTACGCGGGCCGGCAGAGTCAGCAGCAGCAGAAGGCAGGCAAGACCTAGGCGGGCCGAAGCTGGGGAGACGTCGGGGGCCGCGGGTCTGGGCGCGGACGCGGGGACAGGGGCGCGGGCGCGCCGAGGGGCGAGCTGCGCGGCTTCCTCCGCACCACCCGGCCTTAGCATAGCTCCCCGAAGACTCCAGCCGTGCAGCCCGGAGGGGCGTGGACGGGGCTCGGTCTGGGCTTACTCAGGCTGCCCCTACCTCACCCCTCTGGGTGGCCATGGGGTTTGCAGGCGGCTGGGGATAGGGTCACGTGGAATCCAGGAGCCGGGCGCAGGGTCCCGGGGAAGGCGTAAGTTGCGGTGTCCGGAAACCGACGACGCGCGCTAGCTGGGGTCTAGGACGCGCTGCCCGAGCACCGGGCGCGGTGTCAGGGGTTCTGAAGCGCGGAGTGGAGCTGCGGGCCCGAGCACGCGGACAGCCCCTCCAGCCGCAGGCTCTCATTGGACGGCGCGGGGCGGGGCCGCGACCGGGGACACGCGGGGCCGTCAGGGCGGCTCCGCCCGCGCCTGCCCTGGGTGCTCCGCGGCGCCCTAGGTGTGGTGGGCGCCTCCGGCCCCCGCACCCCCGCGCGCCGCCGCGCCCCCACCTGCTCCGGCGCGGTGCGACGGGCGCCGCAGCCTTTCAGCGCCCGTAGCGCCCGGTCCCTACCGACGCCGCGCCACCGGGTCCTAGCGCCCTTCATTCGGCGACTCCGACTGCTGTTGGATGGCCAGGCGCACTGAACGGGAGGGGGCTGCACACATTTCCCCCATCCCCTAACCGATAGTGATACTGGCGCTGAGTACAGAAGACGCGCTCATTTCCTCGGGTCCTCCATTCTTGTGCTTCTGTGAAATGGGCAGAAACCCTGTCATCGGGAATTGCGGGAGTCTTAAGCCCCCTTTCCACACTGCTTATGGGGGCGACGTGAGCAGTCGGCCTCAGATAGGGGAATCTCCTCTAGGACTCATCGCCCCTGCTTATTCCGACACACTAAACCGACACCCTCCTGCCCCCACAACGTTTAGACAAGGCTGCCCCGCCCGGTGCTTCCCCCAGCCTACGGACCGGGAGTCGACGGCCGAGCGGAGGAGGCACACCTGTAGCCCGGGCGCGGATGCCGGGTCCCTTACCGCCGGGACTCGGCAGAGCTCCGTCTCTCCCTGCTCCCCCAAATATCTCGGTTTCCTCCCTCCACACCCCCCCCCCCCGCTTCAAGCCGAGCCGAGAGTGGGAAAGAATCAGAAACAGCTGGCGGGTTTTCCCGCACCAGAGGCCAGGCAGGGTGGGGGTCCTGCTGAGAGCCTGGAAGCCGGGAGCCTTTTCTCCCCGCTTTTCCACCTTCCTCCTCTCATCCTTCCTCAGCTCCGCATACTGCCTGGGGGCGAGGCAAATCGGGAAAAGGTGGGGAGGTGCCTCCCCACTTCTCCTGCCTCTTCCCAGGCTGGCAGGTAGGCTAGCAGGTAGAGTCCCTGGAGGGCGGGATGGCTCTCACTTGAGGCATAAAAATTCCCTTTTAAAGCCCTGAGCCTTGCAATTTGATGCACTCCTGGGGTCTGGCCCTAACCATTTCTTCAGCCTCAGTTTCTCCTTCCTGACCTCTCATTCCCTCTTCCTGTCTAAACTCTTAAAGTTCTGGTGTAAACAACGCGGTCACTGCCCACCTCCCTTTTAACCCCAAACTCACTGCCATTTGTTGTTTGGGTAGTTGGGGGTGTTAGAGACCTCTGAGTGTGAAGGACGGGGCACAGCTGGCTGGAGACATCTCAGAAGCAGAGGCAGGAAAGAAGAGTTCAGAGGGGCCTTTATCCTCCCTCTCTCCCCACTTCTGTCTTTTACCTCAACTTTCTGTGGTAAGGGGGTTGAGTATACTCATCAATCAAACAAGTATTTATTCCCTACCAGGTGCCCGGACTGTGCTAGACACCGAGGACTCATCAGTGAGCAAAACCAAACAAAATTTCTGCCCTCATGGAGTTTACGTTCTGTTGGGGGAAGACAGACAACAAACATCGGAAGTAAAGCATATAGGATGTTAGAAAGTGCTAAGTGCACTGGGAGGGAGAGGGTTATAACCAGGATGATCAGGGCAGATCTCATTACAGTGACATGCAAGCATATTCTGGCAAAGAGCATCCCAAGCAAACCAGGGGAGAACCAGTAGCCACCCTCAGGCAGGAGTGGGCTGGTGTGTAGGGGATAGTGAGGGGCCAGCCAGCCGGAGCAGAGTGAGCTGGGAAGGAGAGGAGTTCAGACAAGCAGCAGAGAGTGGTCTTAGGTTGGGGAGGGGAGAAGGTGCCCACCACCATTGGTGTGGTGCAGGGCGGAGGGCTGAATGCTAAGACCATGCAGGGCCCGCAGCTGGCCAAAGGAACTTGGACCAGATCCCTTCATTCCCTTCTTTCTGTCCTTCAATCTGGTAAGCTCTGGTTGGCTTACTTTGTCCTTAGAAAGACATAGACTCTAGGACCAGTTTCCCTGAGAGGGGCAGGTGGGAGTGCAGGGAACCCAGGCTCTTTCCTGGCTGGGTCCCCTTCCTTGGACCATTCTCCCACCTCCTCCCAGCCCAGCCCCACCCGTTTGGAACCTCTCCCAGACTCCCCTGTGTGTTTAGATCTGGGTGTGACTCTGGCCCCATACAAATGGGCCTGGGGTTGTGGGATGGGAGCTGGAGATGATCACATCTAACTTTGGGTGGACTCACCCACATGGGCCCCAGACTCACTTCTAAGGCCCCTTCTTTGGCTTCCGCTGTCTTCATAGTTGAGTGGGACCGTGTCTTGGCACAACACAGATGCTCAGCTATTAAAGTACTTTTCTGAGTGAGTTGAGGAAGCTGCAGAAACAGCAGCAGCTCCAAGAGGGAGGGAAGGGACACAGGGGACAAGACTTCTTCTCCCCAAGGCTTATAGGTCACCTCCACCCTAGAGTGGGCAACCCAGGATGGGCCTTTGCTCCTTCTACCCCTCTCCCTCCCCCTGATCCCAGCTCCCCATGAGGAGTCCAAGGCTGCAGGAGTCAGCTGACTACAAGAGCTGCACTCAACCACTTAACTAGAGAACAAATACGGAGCCAGAGAAGAGGTTTTCTGGGATCTGCCACTTTGGAGCTTCAAATCTCAAAATAAACTTCCAGTCTCAAGGTCCTAGATACTATTGGAGAGAGCTCAGTTCCTCACGCAAGGTTCTCTGGCCTCTGCCTGGAGCTTCCAGGCAGAGGGTCAAGGCTGGAGGCTAAGGCTGGCTTCTGACTTGCTACTCTGGGCTTATCTCCCACCTCCACTCCAATTTGTGGCACCCAGGGGAAGGAGTCTCTGATTTGAAAGTCAAATCAGAGGTCCCTGCATGGAGTCAAGTCAGCAATTATTAAGCACCTGTCATTAAGCATCCTAAATGACACAGAAAGAAAGGGCCTTAGTCCATTTTCTTGCAAATACAATAAAGCTGTCTCGGGGTAGCTCTAGACTCTGCTGGGGTTTGAGGTTGCTGAAGCATTAGCAGAGAACTGAGGAACCCCAGACTTTGCCTCCCCCTCAAGGTTGCCAGATTCCCTGGAGCCTCCAGCAGAGCTAGGTCGTCCCTCTTCCCCATGGTGGCACCACAACCTCCTGCCCTTTCAAAAGTGGGTGCCCAAAGGGGAAGGGTCCACTCTCACCCTTGATAACTCACCAGTGAGGCCACTTAGAGTTAAGTTTCATCTTTCACTCTATTCTCAGCTATGTGTGGCTGAATGACTGAATTTTTACTGGCCCTTGGATGGAAGTGGAGATGAGCTAAAGGGAGCTGGGTGTGGGTAAACAGCTCTTACTCCACCCTGGTTTATTCTCCAGAAGGCCCCCTTCCTGGGGCCCCTTTGGCGATGACCTTCTCTTTCCCGGTGGGTGGGTGGTGGTGTGGATGGTAATGAGCAGAGAGAAAGGCCAAGAAGGGGCTAGGGGGAGGTTTGGATTGGAGTCAAGGAATTCCTGAGCCTGCTACTTGCACAAGGGCCCCTGAGACGTCTTTCCTGAGATTTCTTTGCAAACCTAAGCAGGTCTCCTTTGAATTGGAGCCATGTTCACACAGGCCCCTAGAGCCCCACCTCCTGCCCTGCTGTACCATGCAGGTGTCTGGAGGAAAGAAGGGAGCTTGGGAAGAACCTAGGGCTCTTAGGGGGGTGGCGTAGGGACCACGCTCTGTATGCAGTCTGGCCGGCCTCTCCTTGGTATTTATGAGCTCCCAGGCAAGCAATGGAACATGTCTCAAGGAGGCCAGGCCAAACAGGCTGGGGGGGGGGGGGACATCCAGCCCCAAATCAGGGAAGGGGCTTGGTGGTTCAGCACCCCTTTCCTCCCAGCTAGTGGCTAAACAGAGGGCAAACCGTTCTCCAGGGACCAGGAAGAGACTGATTTAAGGGAGAAGAAAAAGAAGAGGAGGCGGGACCATGGGGGCAGGGGAAGGGGGGTTCTGGAGCCTTTTAGCACTTTGGCTGTACTCAGACTGGAGCCAGGCGGTAGGCGGGCTGAGGGCCATCCTGGGTGGGTGGCCTGGGTTTTGTGTGAGGCCAGTGAGTGTGCTGCTGGGATCCTGGGTGGTCACTGACCAGTCTCTCCCCAAGGGAGGGTTCCCATTTTGTCCCCAGGCCCACTTTTCCCAATCTGACTGTATCAAATAGGCTGAACACTGAGCTCTCTTTCTCTCCCCACCACCTGTTCTGGGCCCCAGAATGATGTGGAAGTGTGATTTGCTTCCACTGGACAAAAATTGCAGATATTCAGTATCTATCTGCCTCCCTCCTGTTCTGCCTTCCTGAGCTCACTCTACCTCTTGTCTTCATGCTGTGCACATCTCACCTCCGGGTGCTCTGTCAGGCTTGCGTTTCTGTCTATTCCTCTCTATCCTCGGGCTTCTCTTCCTGTCTTCGTTTGTCTCTCTGTGTGTATCTACCTGCCTTTTCTCCCTGTCTGAATGTCTGCTGCCGCTCTCCTGAACCCTGTCTCTCGTTGATCTGCTGTCACTCCCTGTCTCTCAGCATGCATCTCTCTCTGTCTGTCCATCATTCCCTCTGTGAATCTGTACCACTTTTGGTCTTGCTCTTCATTCACTCTTCTCTCTCTCTCCCCGCACCCCCCATCTTACAGCTCCCCCTTGCAGCTCCTGCAACACAGAAAAAAAAAATCAAAAAACCTTTTCACCTCAACACAGCCATGCACTATTTGTGTCACTTTCCCACTTCAGGCCTCAGTTTCTCCACTGGTAGAATAAGTAAGGTGGAGATCTAGTTCCCTCTGTGGGAGCATCTTTATCATCTTTATCTCTCTTTTTGCACAACCCACCACATTCCTCAAAGCATTTGTTTCTTTTCTTCCTAAATTTGACCCTAAAATTAGGACTCTTGCATCCTAGGGACTTCAGTGAGGAG